TAGTCAAGCACTCTCCCTACTGTGCTTCACCCCCAAGACTAGTACATTCTCTTTTGTCACTCTACAACTCCTGGAGGAATCAAAATATTCAGCCTGCTAACCTCAAAAACAGAAAAATTAAGCCTATATTTCAACAAGGGCACCTGCATCTTTACAACTAAAGGTAAAAGGAAAAACAGGAAGTCAAAAAGGTCTTTGATCAAAGAGACCATACAGTTCAGAGAACACACGAAACCCTCTTCACTCAAAGCCTACTGGATCTTATTTTAGACACAATTTTAATAAGCTCTGTGATCTGGTTTCTTAGCTCACAACAGATGAGATGCAGCCAACTGGAAAAGGGCTGGGGGTGGTACTAGGAGAGGCAGGCAGGCCTCAAAGCATCAAAACCTATAAAGTCAGCAGAAAACTGAAACACAGAAGGCTAATTGGTATAGACACTGACACAGACATGAAGACATACATGTGCACACACAATTCAAATCCCTGCTATAACCATACTATTCATAATGCGTCTCCATGGTAAATTCTGGCTAAAGACTAGCTCAAGAATCTCCAAGATATACATCAAAATAATGCCCATCAAAAGCTTTTTCCAGGACTTGGGGTAACTCAGTAGTGGGGTATCTGCTGAGAATGTACAAGGCCCTTCCTTGGTCCAATCCTCAACAGTGAAAATAAAAAGTGCTGTAAATTTGGCCAAAACAGACTATGCATGTATGAAATTCAAAGAATAAAAAATACGTACCAAAATTCAGACAAAAAGTACCAAATTCAGACAAAAATTTGCATTATTTATCAAAAAAGTAAGATACTGAGTTATTTTTTATTTTTGGGAGGCTTTTCAAGACAGGGTTACTCCAGTTTTGGAACCTGTCCTGGAACTTGCTCCGTAGACCAGGCTGGCTTCGAACTCACAGATATACACCTGCCTCTGCCTCCCAAGTGCCACCATCCAGCAAAATACTGAATTTCTAAAGATGCCTCCTGTCAAATGGGGTAAATTTTAAGAATTCTATTAGAACCAGATAAAACACTTCATGATGGGCTGGAGAGATGGCTCAGAGGTTAAGAGCACTGACTGGTCTTCCAGACGTACTGTGTTCAATTCCCAGCAACCACATGGTGGCTTACAACCTTCTATAATGAGATCTAATACCCTCTCCTGGTGTGCAGGCAGAACACTGCATACATAATAAATCTTTAAAACAAAAGGGAAAAAAAACACTTCATGACATTTGAGGTTGAAGGGATATTTAAATAATAGCTCTTTTCAGATTCTGACAACAGGAAAGGCAACACTAAGACTGATTATACAGACCAAGCAAGTCTTGGGATTCCAGACCAGATATATTGGGCTGAGGATAAGATAGGAATGGTTTTAACTGTATCCATTAAGCCAATATAAACTATATATGCCACGCAAAAAAAAAAAAAAAATGAGAAACACAACTTCTGCTTTTGTTTTCACAATAATTTTGATGAAAATAAAAGAGGGGTTTTCTAGTCTTTGGCAGTCTAAAAGAAGTCAAGTCATACTTGACTTCAACAAAGGTTCTAGGTTACTAAATGGGGATAGAGAGATACATATATAAATTTAAAAAACTGAGCTAAGAATGTACCTCAGATGGCGGAGTTCAAACTCTGGGTTTGATTCCAGGGCCACTTAAAACTTAACAGGGTGGGACATGCTTACAGTCACAGTATTCAGGAGGTAGGGGCTGAAGGAGCACAAATTCAAAGTCATGCCCCCATACATAGTTTCAGGCCAGTTTGGAATACATGCAAACCTGTATCAGGAAAATAACTGGGGGACTGAGACAGGTTTGTTCTTGCTGAGAACCCAGGTAGGATTCCCAGCTCCTGAATGGTGGCTCACAACCACGTCTAACTCCAGTTCCAGGTGATTCAACAGGCATATACAGTGAGCACACAGATACATGAAAGCAAAACATTCATAAAGTAAAACACATAATTGTAAAAGGTTTATTGAAACAAATAGCCAGATGGTAGTTGTACACATCCTTAAGCCCAGAACTCAGGAGGCAGAGGCAGGTAGATCTTTGTGAGTTCAAGACCAGAGTGGTGTACAAGCAAGTTCCAGTACAGCCAGGGCTACAAAGAGAAGCCCTGAACAAAAGCTCAATCTCTAGGACCCGTGGAAAGGTGTAAAATAGTTCAAGTGTGCCGGGCGGTGGTGGCGCACGCCTTTAATCCCAGCACTCGGGAGGCAGAGGCAGGCAGCTCTCTGGGAGTTCGAGGCCAGCCTGGTCTACAAGAGCTAGTTCCGGGACAGGCACCAAAGCTACAAAGAAACCCTAGCTCGAAAAAAAAAAAAAATAGTTCAAGTGAGGGCTATGGGTGAAACATACACAGACATTTTTAAGGTCATGTGATCATTTCTAAACCTGACTTCCTTTTTAAAGATTTATAAGAACTGGGAATGTAGTTCAGTGGTAGAGTGTTTGCCTTAGCATACATAAGATTCTGGGCTCAATTCCTTGTACTGTTCAAAAAGATTTAAAGTGAAGGCAGGTGTGGTGGTACCTGCCTGCATCCCAGTACTGAGGATAAATACCAACCTGAACAATAGTGACAGCCTATCTCAAAAACAACTGGGAGCAAATGTTATTTTAAGACTTAAGTGGGGGGCTGGAGAGATGGCTCAGAGGTTAAGAGCATTGCCTGCTCTTCCAAAGGTCCTGAGTTCAATTCCCAGCAACCACATGGTGGCTCACAACCATTTGTAATGAGGTCTGGTGTCCTCTTCTGACCTGCAGTCATACACACAGACAGAATATTGTATACATAATAAATAAATATTTAAAAAAAAAAAGACTTAAGTGTACGTTTTGAGTCAGTGTTATTGCCCTCTCTGAAGAAGTCTCTACGCTATTAACTCATTGGTTTAATCTCAGCACTCTCAAGGTAGAGGTAGATGGCTCTTGGAGTTTGAGGCCAGCCTGGTCTACATCACAGTAAGTTGCAATCCAACAGAGCTAGGAAGACCCTACCTTAAGGGAAAAAAAATTAAGAATCTTTGCAAATTATCACACATCAAACTCACTTTCTCTCCCAGCTTTGGGGGATCTTCTATAGGTATAACTCAAACAGCAACTCAAATTGATAACTTCCCATTAGACTCTATAAGGATCTATGACTGTTAAAGTCTTTGAAATACATACACATGCTGGGTGGCAGTGGCAGGTGCCTCTAATCCCAGCTCTTGGGAGGAAGATCTCTGAGTTTAAGGCCAGCCTGGTCTACAAAGAAAATAAGTTCCAGGACAACCAGGGCTGCTACACAGAGAAATCCCATCTCCAAAATGAGAGGGGGAGGGGGGGGGGAAGAGAGAGAGGGAGGGAGAAGGAGAGGGAGAGAGAGGAGACGATATATACACATTACTTGGATGTTTATCCTTTACATGGTTTTTCAAGAGATCTTTCATTAAGCTCATATTTAAAAAAAATATTAATTTATTTATCTTTATTTTATGGGCATTGCTGTGAAGGTTATCAGACCCCCTGGAACTGGAGCCACAGTTGTGAGCTGTCATGTGGGTACTGGTTGAACATAGGTCCTCAGAAGAACAGGCAGTGCTCTTAACCGCTGAGCCATCTCTCCAGCCCCAAGTCCATTCTTCTTTTATCAAGGACCCTGCTTCATTTTAGTGTAAGACTTATTGCTAAAGCCTATCCTTTGATTTCTTAAAAAAAAAAAAAAATTCAAGCAAAAATTGGTAAGGTGCTAATTCACGGTAAGGAATGGAATTAATTCCACATTCCAAGTCTTGAATAAAGAATAAAATGAGGACCAATTGCTGAACTGTGGTTTCCCATCTTTCAATCTGCATTTTGACTTCGTTCTCCATTCTTTGTGTCCCCATCCTATCAGCCCTTACGGGTAATCTCAGGCCCTACCAGGTGAAGATTTAATATGGCCCATCTGAGCCAAATAAAATGCCAAACAAAATTCACAGTGGGTGACTTTTTACGTCCAAGGAAAAAAATAATAGTGACACCAAGAGGTTAATATTGGCGGGAGGACGCTAAAGTTTACGCCAAGCCTATGTTCTCCTAATACTAAATCGTATAAGTGGCTAACCTTTCGTTTAAAAAAAAAAAAAAGAACTAAGAAATTATTACTAACCAAAAATTGAGTAAAATCCCTTCTAAATTAAGTCTTCACGAATATATCGTCTAATTTTAGCGTTAAAATCATTTTGGGAGAAGTCTGTGAAAGGAATTTCTCCGGCGGTGTTCAACGTTCGGTTTTCGGAACTGCCTGGCTTCACCCTACCAGGTAAACAGTTGTTCCACTAGCTCCCGTCCTACAAAACTGAAGGGTTAGTCTCCGACGACATGCGGCAACCCCGAGGAACAACGCTTCTCCACTTAACCCCCTCCGCCCTCCGGAGGGGCATTCTCTTCCCTCTGACTTTCCAGACCAGTAAGGACGACTTCAGCGTGCAGCCAGCTGCCCAAGAGTTAAGTGAACTCAAGGAAACAGTCACGGATCGGGCAAAGGGACCCTCCGGTCGCACCCTGTCTGGGTGCTCGATCTCAGGGAGCTCCGGGTAGGGCGCCCGAGTAGGGGGACAGAGATTGGCCAAGCAGCCCTATCGACCTCAAACCATAGGGCCGCCCAACGCCCCAGTCGCTGCCCCCACCCCCCCTTCCCGCGCCGTCCAAGTCCCCTTCCCAGGCGGACAATAGCCCTAAAGAGCAGCAAGTCCCAGGCTGGAGGGAGGCCTGGAAAGGCGGCGGGGTGGACGACAGCGAGGACCGGAGCAACTTCGGCCTAGCAGGGTCCCCGCGCTCCGGCCTTCGCGGGCGCCATCTCTGGGAGTGGGGTGTGAAGGCCGCCCCGTGGGGCCGGCGCCGGCAGCGGGAAGCAAACGCCGCGAGCCCGGCGGAGGCGACCGCGGGAAGTGCAGGCCGCAGCCTACTCAGCGGGCTCTCCCAGCGGCCCATTCCCACAGCAACACCCCGGTCGCTTACCTTGTGGATTCTCTTCAGAGCCATGGTGGGAAACGGTGGCGATGGCCCCCGGGGCGGGGACGGGGACGGGGGAGGGACGGGGAAGGGGCGAGGGGGGCCTGAGACCGCCCGAGCGGTCGCGAGTCGGCCGGAGAAGACCGGGAGCTCCGAAGCGCGGATCCGACGAGCTGAGGGCCGAGGCCCACTCAGCTACTGGCCTGCCGCAGCGGTCACCGCATCACCCGGCGGCGGCCCCTTTATGCGCTGCTGCCACAGCCGCCGCCGCCGTAGCCGCCTCTTCCTCGTAGGCTCAGCGCCGCCTCCTCAGCCGCCGTGGATCCCTCCGCCGGGGAGGAAGCGCCCCAGACCCCGGGCTCGCCGAGAGCCTTACGGTCGCGGAGCCGGGGAAGCCTGCTGGCTTGCCTAATGCAGGTGGACTAAGAGACGCGCGGGCGGGCGGGCGGGCGGGCGAGCGGCGCCGCCGGGGTGGGGCCGCCAGAGCGCGGGGTGGGCCCAGGCCGAGGGGCAGGTCGGGAGGCTCCGGGATTGGCGGGCCTGGGAGGGAGGGCCGGGCCGGCGGCGGAAGGATACGGGCCGCCCCTGCGAGGACCTTACGCGCCGGCGCAGCCACGGCCGCGGAGGGGATGACGTCGCGAGGCACGGAGAGGTGATCTCGCGAGAGTTTACGCGCGGGTTCTAGATGCTCCTCCGCCAAGGCCCCAAATTGGCCCCCGGTACCCTGTGCGCGTGGCGCTTCGAAGATCAATAAACGCTTAAAGGGACGCGTTCCCCACATTGTTTAGTCCCCAGCAGACTCAGAAGGAAGTACCAAATCCCGCTGCTACTTTCCTGAAAGAGAAAGGGACTTTCAAGGTCACACAACTCTTCATCTATTGGCAGTTTTAGGGTCCTCGAGCTTGCAAAAGGGGAGCCTTGAGGCTAGCCATCCAACCAAGACCCCGGCTGGACATGACTCGAATGTTCTTTCCGCAGCCACCGGCCTGTTAGCCTTAGGAAATATGCCATGGAGAATAAGAAAATATGGAAAGGATTTTTTAACCCTCCCCCCCTTTTTTTTTTTTGCGGGGGATGGGGGGGGGTGTAACAGCCCTAGCTGTTCTGGAATTAGCTCTTGTAAACCAGGCTGGCCTCAAACTAACAGACATCCACCTGCCTCTGTCTACCGAGAGTGCCACTCTACCGCTGCCCCATTTCGATTTTTATACTTAATTTTTCATATATTGGATGTTTTACATTTATTTGTCTGTTTGCTTGCCTATTTATTTTAATTAAAAAATTAGCTCAGTAGTGGCGAATGCCTTTAATCCCAGGTTTCAGAAGGCAGAGGTCGGCAGATCTCTGAGTTCGAGGCCAACCTGGTCTACACAGCTAGTCCAGGACCTGACTTGAAATCCTGTCTCAAAGAAATCATTATATAGAGAGAGGTTTTTCCTGAATGGATATCTGTGTACCACAAGCATGCCTAATGCTGTGCCTAGTGCCAGAGAGGTCAGAATAGGGGTCCTGATTGACTCGAGCTAGAGTTACAGATGGTTGTGAGCTGCCATGGGGGTACTGGGAATTCACCTAGATCCTCTGGAAGAACAGTCAGAATTTTTAACTACTGAGCCATCTCTCCAGCCCTTATTTTACTTATGTTTTTTTTTTTTTTTTTTGAGACTTCATCTTAGTAGCCCTGGTGGCCAGGAACTGATTATAGAGATCAGGCTGGCCTTGAACTCGGAATGCTAGGATTAAAGAAGTGTGTCACCACACCAGACAATTCTTTTTTCTCTCTCTCTTTTTAAAGATGTGTATGTATGTATATATGTACGTATGTATGTATGTGTTTATTTGGTTTTTCAAGGTAGGGTTTCTCTGAGTAGCTCTGGCTGTCCTGGAATTCACTTTGTAGGTCAGGCTGTCCTCGAACTCCTGGAGATATGCCTACGAGGAAAGGCTCCAAAGCTCAAAGCTACAGAGAAACTCTGTCTCGAAAAAAAAAAAAAAAGATTAATTTTTTTTTCTTATAAAAGAAAATTTTTTCTCTTACCTGCAACGACTTTTTTTTTTTGAGACAAAGCTCTGTAGCTTTGGAGCCTGTCTTGGAACCAGCTCTTGTAGACCAGGCTGGCCTCGAACTCACAGAGATCCACCTGCCTCTGCCTCCCGAGTGCTGGGATTAAAGGTGTGCGCCACCATCGCCTGGCGATTTATTAATTTTTTTTATTTTATGTGATTTGGTATCTTGCCTTGCATTGATGTCTATGTACTCCTTCTGTGCCTAGAAGCCAGAAGAGGGTGTCAGAGCCCCGGGAACTGGAAGTAATCTTGGTGTTGAGTCACCTGTGGGTGCTGGAAACTGAACCTAGGTTCTCTGTAAGAGCAAGTGCTCTTAGTTACTGAGCATCTCTTCAGCCTCTTGCCCAACTTTTACATGAATTTGGAGGATTTGAACTCAAGCCCTCATTCTTGCATAGCAAATACACCTACCTGCTTACCCACTCAACAAAGACCCTAGCCTGTTGCTGTTTTGGTTTTGTTTTCTCTATTTTTTTTTTTTTGAGGCAAGTTATTATACTGTTACTGGAAAATTTTTGGAACCTCACCTACTACCTTGGAAATTGGGGTCCCTTTATGAGAGTCTTGGTCTTGCTTTTGTTTTGTTGTTGTTGATTTTTCGTTTGTTTGTTTGGTTTTGTTTTTGCTTTTCCCAGACAGGGTGTCTCTGTGTAACAGTTCTAGCTGTTCTGGAACTAGCTCTTGTAGACCAGGCTGGCCTCAAACTCACAGATATCTGCCTGCCTCTGTCTCCCGAGTGCTGGTCTGGTCTTGCTTTTTAATTAAGTTTTTAGATTTATTTATCTTATTTTATGTGTATAAGTGTTTTTGCTTACATATATGTGTGTTGTGTGTGTGTGTGTGCATCATGTGCTTGCCTGGTGCCCACAGAAGCCAGGAAGGGCATCAGATCCCCTGGAACTGAACTTAAGGGTTGTTGTGCGCTACTCTGGGAATCAAACCCAGTCCTCTGAGAGAACACCAAGTACTCCAAGACTCTGAGCCATTTCCCTGGTCTTGTAAAAAAAAAATTAATAAAGGACTCAGAACAATTTTATTTGAGTTGAAAACAGAAACCCAGAGCAGGAAAGGCGGAAACTTGAACAGGTGCGCAGAGGACAATTGATTAAAAGGAAAAGAAAAGGCTGTGCCAGGGAGTGAAGGTGGCACTGAAGCCAAGCCCATGGCAAGAGAGGCGCTTTGAAGACAGCAAAGCCCAGCGGCAGGGAAAGCCTGCTCAGGAAGGGAATCTCTGCGAGCCTGTGGCTCCTTTCTGGGAAGGAAAGGTACATCACCTCCCTGAAGGTATAATTATTCTTCCTATCTCTTCAGCTGGATTTAGAGTAAATCTACCTTCCTGAGGATACTCCTTCAATCAGGTGATTGCCTAGCCTAACTGGAATGTTAGGTCTCCAAGCAAGCCAGAAATTCTATTTTCTTGACCAAAAAGAAAGAGCTTCCTTTCAGTGGGCCTCAAGGCTGCTGTAAAATCACCATGTGGCCCAGACTTGCCAAACTCTTGACACCACTCTTCCTGAAATTACAGGAGATTGTCGCTTTATCTGTCATTCATCCCCACACCAGTCCCTGAAGACAGGGTCCCCTTGAGTCGTCCGGGTGGGTCCTCCAAGTCATGGTCTTTCTGTGTCAGCCTTCAGGGTTCTGTAAAGCTGTCAATATGGCTGTCCTCTCCTACACAGGGCCACCGTATCAGTGGAGGCTATGTTGGGGCTCTGGGGGTGAAGGCTGTGTTGCTCTTGGTCTTCTTCACATTTTTGTTAGCATATATTGTACAAAACAATGCATTTCTTTGTGGAATGTTCATGCAGACGTACAGTATACTTTGACCATATGTAATCATCTGTCCTGTCCCTTTAAGACACAAGCCACACCCACTCCCTCCCCTTCAGTTTCCAACCTGAGTCCTTTCCTTCTCTCTCTCTCTCTCTCTCTCTCTCTCTCTCTCTCTCTCTCTCTCTCTCTCTCTCAGAGGCAGCCTCTATCTCTCCCTTTTTCCCACTTCTCCCCTTTCCTCCTCTCTGTTTCTCTCTCTCTCTGGTCTTCGCCCTTCTCTCCTTCCCCTCCATTACCTACTAAATAAATATGCAACTTCACTCTACATTTCTCTGTCTCTCACCCGCCACGCGGCTTCCTGCCTGGGGCCCGGCTGCCTTTGTGGCCTGCCATAGTCTCAGGACCCGCTGCCTTGATTTCACAGAGATCTGTCTACCTCTGCCTCCTGAGCATGGATTAAAAGTCTGTCACCACACTCAGTCAGAGGCCATTCTTGTTTTTTTTTTTTTTTGTTTTTGTTTGTTTGGTTTTTTTTTTTTTTCCTTTTGGTTTTTCAAGACACGGTTTCTCAGTAGCTATGGAGTCTGGAGTCTGTCCTGGAACTCACTCTGTAGTCCAGGCTGGCCTCAAACTCAGAAATCCACCTGCCTCTGCCTCCTGAGTGCTGGGATTAAAGGTGCACGCCACCACTGCCCGGCCACAGGCCATTCTTAAAGGATGCCTATAATTGAGGCCTGTCAGTGGTGGCACACACCTTTAATCCCAGAATTTGGAAGGCAGAGGCAGGTGGATCTCTGTGAGTTTGAGGCCAGCCTGGTCTACAAGAGCTAGTTCCAGGAAAGCTAGGACTGTTACACAGGGAAACCCTGTGAAAAGGATGCATCTTTTACATCTGGATTCAGAAACCTCCATTAGAGTTTGTGGGGCAGCAATGAAGCCTGAGAAAGGGGCAGGACCTTGAAGTCTTTGCATACCCAGGTGTTACCTGCTGGCAGTGGAGGTTGGGTGAATGGGCAGGATTACATTCTCCTCGGGCCTGAATGTGGTGTGGAGCTGTTCTTAACCTGTCCACCCTCTACCTCCAAACTTTGCCCCACCCCACCCCCCACTTCTGGAGCCAGGGGCTGACTCCCAGCAAGGGAGGCAGGAGAACTGTAGGGGGCCTATTTGGACCTTAATAATCATCATCACAAAGGCCTTCTTGACTAGGTCCCAGGATTCCTGGAGGCTTGTTCAAGGCACCCTTCTCTAGGATCTTCAGGCCTTCTTTGATCTCAATTCACCCCGAGGCTGGGCCTCCT